AACTAATATTCCATTGCTCATATTGATCTGATAAGGTTTCAGGTTCAACATTAACACTGTACGTTAATTGCCATGGCTAATTATGATGACATTTCAGGTAAAGTTATTATTATTGTACAGATACCACTTGGACAGGGTTATATCAAAGCTAGGAGGCTGTGTTCCCCCATGAAATAGATCTATTGTGGATCTACTGCCTCCCCTTTCCCGTAAACTCAAGAGGGCGGACTTTGGTGTGTTTTTTATGTTCCACTTCCACGCCCTTGAGCTCTAATTCACAGTGAAATTAGGAAGATGATTTATGAGAACCACGCATCAAAACCTCAACAATATGGAAAACTGGGCGCACCACAGTTTTTATTGAGAACATATGCCAACAGGATGAGAGGAAGAGAATGGCAAAACACAGAAGAAGAAGCCAACATCCAGTATACTGTCTTACTACCCAATGAATGACCTTGAGTTTCACCTTTAGGGCTTTTTCCAATACAATAGAAGTCATTATACACTATTGAAATGTATAGTCCACATGTGATATCCTCTGACAGTCTGCTGATCGGCTAGCTCAAGGAAACAAGCAATCACAACATGACCTGCAACTACAAGAGCACAAGTATTTCTTTTTGCTACTACTCAGTGAGCCCTAATTGATATAAATATGCACAAACGGCTGCCATGCAAAACTGTTAGGGAGAATACTGCAAATAATCTGGAAGTACTTGAGAGGTTTTTTCTGGACTAAAAATGGCTGACGTCCAAACACACCCTGAGAGATTTCGGGCTAATTGTTTCCAAACTGCTTCCACCAACACATCACATTCCAGGCACTATACTTTTTTAGTAAGGTGAAATAAAATCTGTACTTAGTGGATCATGATTAAAGGTCCTATAGTATGCAAAATTCATTCTTGTGAGCTTTAAGACATGTTAGAATGTTGTTACTTCCTCAAAAACAGACCTGAAGTTGTGTTTTGTTACATTCACACATTTTATTGTGATCCTGCAGTATTAGACTACAACAACGAAACTCATTCTATTGTGTTGTCATGCAGGTGTAGTTTTCAACTTAACAGCTACATTTTACCTTTTGTTTATTAGAAATTCCAAGCCTGAAATTTTCTAAATGATTCTAATGAAGGTGTATGGACTTGAAAAACACAGTGAGGCGCTTTATTTACTGTATTTTCTGCCTGAAAGAAGAATTCAGCGTAAGTGTGCAGGATGTTTGTGTTAAACATGTGTGAATTAAACAAAACACAACTCCAGGTATGTTTCTGATGAAGAAACAACATTATAACAGATATTATAGATCAGAAAATAGCGTAATATGGAGTATGGATTAATAAAATGAAACTGCTGTGAGGTCAGAGGACATGGGTAGGTTCCTGACACTATATCCCATAAGTCCGTTTGTGATTGGGGGCTGACTGTCCCAGGCCTGTGCTTAAGAGACAATCAAGGAAATGCACCCGACCACAAACCAAATGGGAAACACTAAGACTAGTCTCTGCAGGAAGAAGAACAGTATCTTTTGGTGGTTACTGGAAAATGTGTAAATATTTAAATATATGTGTTAATAATTGTTCAGTATGTTGTAGCATCACCACTACTTTTTAACATAAAGGTGCACTATGTAAATATTTCGTTGGGGGTTCGTCACCTGCTTGTTTCTATGGATATGTCATTGCAGTACCTGGAATGTTACACAGTATGACATTAAACTGTTCTACTGTACATTTATTCAGTCACAGGTGGTTTTGTATCTCAGATACACAGAAAAAAACAGACATTCTGACCATGATCTGGTTTGCCTCTCCACAGATCTGGCCTGTAACTTAGTCTGGTTTGGTCTCCATGAAGATAGAAAGGTTTAATGCCATAGTGTGAAACATTCCAGACAAAGGAATCTCCATGGAGAAAAGTATTTGATGGACCCTCTACCAGAAAAGTGACATAATGCACCTTTAAGTTACTTGCAGTATTACATTAGCTGTATCTTAATGTAAAATTGCACTAAATGTGATCAACTAAATCACAACAGATTCTTGGAGGGGAATATGATGGGACTCATGTGGCCTAGTATTTTTCCAATTCATTTTTCCTATAGACTAATCAACTGTCATGCCATTAAACGATCAGTATTTTAAAGTTTGTCTTTTAAAATCTATAGAAAAAATGTATGGAAAATTTACTTCAGAAACCACAGCAAGGCAGGATTACAATTAGTTATTCTCTTTGGTAAACAGCTTATTTGTACTTGATTGTATATAGAGTACTTTGTAACAATCACAAAATATTCTGTTGTGCAGTGCTCGAGTTAAATCACCGATGTGTTTGTTTTCTCAGTTTGTTATGTATTTGACTCATAACACATGAATAATAATGTTTCTTTCATAACCAAAGGCCCCATATTACATTATTTTCTGATCTATATTATAATGCTGTTTCCTCATAAAAAACAAAAAACAAAAAAAAAACAGACCTGAAGTTGTGTTTTGTTTCATTCACACATGTTTAACACACAAATCATGCATATTTAGGCTGAGATCTTCCCGCAAACTGGAACGTTTCCGCCTTATGATGTGATAATTCCTGTATTGGTAATTCCTCTACTGTGGTTTTATAAACATCGTAAATTCACTAGAATCATCTGCATAATTTTTGCCCTGGCATTGCCCTACCACCCCATGACATCACAAGGTACAGAAAATTTTAAGGTTTTGAGACCTAAACAGACTAATAATATAGAATTACCAAAACATGTGTGAATGAAACAAAACACAACTCCAGGTATGTTTTTGATGAGGCAACGACATGTAAGACCTTTGAACAGATTTAGAACAATAAATCTTCAAATGCTTGTAAACAACAGACTCATAGGTTTTGGGTCCTGACACAGCAGTATCTACCAACATTTCCTCTTCACAGCGTCTATTCCGGCCCCAAAAGTTCTGGTAATTTTAAAGTCAGATTCAGTTCCCCTGCTCTCGAGTGTGTGAAAGCAGAGATACGAATAGCGTTCTTGATGTGGTGGAGGCAGAAGCAGGGCTGGTTAGTGGATGGGAGCAGCTTCCACATGTGGTTAGGCCGTGGACTCGTCTGGGTGAGAGTGATGGCACAACACACTGCTCCGTTTGCCAAGTTTACCCTGACTCATGCAGTCACACACATCACTGAGCTGCTGCCTGTGTTTGAGTGACAGGCAAATGATTTTAGAAATATATCCACATGCAAGCATTTAGAGCACTGCATTTCTGTATTTACCACTTAAAATAAAGATCTAATGAAAAAAACAAATGACCTGGTGTCTAGCTTTATTTTACAGCTGATTTCTTGTCACTCAAATGATTTCATGTATTTTTCCAGAAAAAATTCAGTTTGGCAAAGCAAAATTATAATTTTCATGTTGGACCTGTTTTTCATTAGTTTTCTACTTCTACTTCTAACCATGTTATAGCTCTTTCCCCTTCTCATTTACCCTCTCAAAATGTTTTTTTGACTTATTTGTGCATGCTTCTTTATTTGCTTATTTTTAATGCCATATTGCCAATCCACTTTTACAGCCACTAGCACACGTCCACAGCTCGGCACTTAATTCGTTCTTTTATTTTCTTAATCAGTGATGCTCATAGGATTCAGTAGTGTCGCATAGTTATTTTGGTACAAATGAAAAAAAAAATAAAATAAAAAAATCACCTACTTATCTGCAGCTATCCATAGGAGGGGCCAACAGCGACACGGCTCTTTGTTGTTCTGAAGGTTGCACCAACGTCAGCTCCCGGCGGCGATTGGGCACCGTGGTTTTCTAAAGCGGAAGTCAGCAAACTTAATTTATTAATTCATTTTAGATTAATTATATCATAATAATCCACAAATATTATAGCTATACAGTAGACACAAGCAAGACAGGTAAGCACTCCAGTCATGATCATTGAACTGTTTTTGTGTTTTGTTATTCCAGACTACAGCATTTAGCAGCGACATTTACATGTATAGAAAGAAAAAAAACAAAAAACAAAAAACTTCCACTTTAAATATGCAATTAAATGCATAAGGAAGAAAATATGTTGCAATAGTTAAAAGTTCAAAAAATAATAGAACTACAGTAGTCTACTGCAAACAACAACAGACGAAGCAGGTAACACATGTAGAGCATTCACCTGTCATGTGCTAGTACTATTAAAAAAGGCAACGCATTTCCTACCATATTTTGAGGTCTTTTCCTCCTTAAAGTCCTCACATTGTTTTGGTCAGAGCAGCTCTCGGCACCTGAAGTAAGATGGACCGGAGCAGACTGGTGCAGAACAAACACACAGAGAACTATAATCCCACAGTACAGCACTTTAACAAAGGAAGTTACTATCCTCTGTCATAAAGCTGGAGCTACGTGCACGCCTGTAAACAAACCATTCCATAGTCAAAGTTATTCTGAATGAACAGTTTAGACTCCCACCATCTATCACTAAAGACATTTAGTTTGCAGTGCTTGATAAAAATGTTTTACACTAAGCCTAAGCAAATGTTTCAATATCTAAACTGGGCACGATGAGAACTCCTGTCAGCTGCATGATTATTTAATTTATTATAAGTACAATTTGATCAATTTCATGAACATGCTGTTGACTATTCTGATGATCAACTATATTATAAGGTCATGTCATTTTGCTTTTAGGCCATCATTATTATCTATATAAATGTTATACTGATTCTCTGATTCTCTAGTGGGTATGGTTGCAACTAAATCTGTAAAATACAAAGGTTTAATTCATATGACAACAATGATCTGTTTCCATTCAGACATGGACATATGAGTATAGATGTGGTTGCAATGTTGAAGAAAAAAAAACACGGAACTGTATTATCATAAAAAATGTGTAACCAATAAGAAAACAGTAGTGGTGTATTCCAGCCAATAGCAGGCTGAAGGTGGAGAGACACTCTGCGGGCTTCGAGTCAAGTTGCGGTAACGTGTGGATAATGCTCACAGTCAGGACCACAAGTTGGGCGCGCGCTCCTCCAATGACAGCGCATCAGACTCAACTGCTGAAAACAAACGGGAGCAACTCCAGGATCGCACGGGGACTTTAATTACACCTTTCCTAAGTGGAATTTACCGTTACGCACAGTGCGTAAAGCGCGCTTTGTGCGTAAAAGAGAAGCCGCGGTGCCGTGTGCAGTTTGATGTGAGTTTTGTCCTGGTATATTTGGATTTTCATCCGAACTTCAATACAAAATGTTGAAAATGTCAGAGGATCATGACAAGTGTCTGAGTGAGCAGCCGTGCAGTCCCACCGGCTCAAACAGCTCGCTGTCCCAGGATGAGTCTGACTCCGATGCGCCGTCCTCTCCCGCGGGCTCGGACAGCCAGGGCTCTCTGCACGGGGGCATGGGGAAGAAGTTGGACGTGGAGGACGATGAGCGCTTTCCGGCGTGCATCAGGGACGCCGTGTCTCAGGTTCTCAAAGGATATGACTGGTCTCTGGTGCCCATGCCCGTGCGAGGGAACGGCTCAATGAAGAACAAGCCGCACGTCAAGAGACCCATGAATGCCTTCATGGTGTGGGCTCAGGCTGCGCGCAGGAAACTGGCCGATCAGTACCCGCATCTTCACAACGCGGAGCTCAGCAAGACTCTCGGCAAACTATGGCGGTAATTCACCACAGACTTTTTCCCCCTACCAAATAAATAGTCTACATATTATTAGTAAAGTGTAACATACATAACATGGGCTAATATTAATGTATCAAAGTTTGTTTTTAGTCTAAATGTTTTAGTTTTTTCATAAAGTTCAGTTTTTATGAATAATAATAATGATGATGATAATTATGATGATTTGTTTATTTCGAGCACTGATCTGGGATAATTTGTCATACATAATAATAATAACAAAATATTTCAATATCAACAGTTTGCTGTCAGAGAGTGAAAAGAGGCCATTTGTTGATGAGGCAGAGCGGCTGCGGGTTCAGCATAAGAAAGACCATCCCGATTACAAGTACCAGCCCCGCAGAAGGAAGAACCTGAAGCCTGGTCAGAGCGACTCAGACGCTGGAGCAGAGCTGCATCACATGTATAAGGCAGAGCCAGGCATGGGGCTGGGCAGCCTCACAGACGGACATCACCATGTGGAGCACACAGGTATGAGAACACATGCATAAGGTATAGGGCACTTGGTTATATGCTAGTCTTATTCTTCTGTTTCTGACATTTGTTACTCCTGGTTACAGGGCAGCCTCATGGACCTCCCACACCCCCCACTACACCCAAAACAGACCTGCACCATGGAGTAAAGTCAGACCTGAAGCATGAGGGCCGCCGCCTGGTGGAGCGGCAGAACATCGACTTCAGTAACGTGGACATCTCTGAGCTCAGCACTGATGTCATCAGTAACATGGAGACCTTTGACGTGCATGAGTTTGACCAGTACCTGCCCCTAAATGGCCATGCTGTGGCCGCCGCTCTCCCCTCAGACCACAGTCAGTCTGCAGGGGGCGCTCCGTACAGTTCCTCTTATGGTAATGCCTCACAGTGGAGCCGTAAGAGCACCATGCCCTCTGCCCCATCAGCGGGCGATGCAGGACAGCATCGGCTGCACATAAAAACAGAGCAGCTTAGTCCCAGTCATTACAGTGAGCACTCTCCCTCTCACTCAGAGTTCTCCTACAGCAGTCAGGCCTCTGGCTCCTCCAGTGCCTCTGCTGCCTCTGCCTCTTTCTCCAGCTCTCAGTGTGACTATACTGACCTGCAAAGCTCCAACTACTACAACCCGTACTCTGGATACCCTTCCACTTTGTACCAGTACCCGTACTTCCACTCCTCCAGGAGGCCCTATAGCAGCCCCATCCTCAACAGCCTGTCTATGGCCCCCACCCACAGCCCCACAGCCTCCAGCTGGGAGCAGCCCGTCTACACCACTCTGTCCCGGCCTTAAGGGTCACAACCAGCACTCACTGACATCAATGCACTACTAATGAAGGAGCAGACAATGGTGGTAGGCCGTGAACTCTCTACAAGTGCCTGCTGATTTTATACAGAGTTCTATGAACAATGTTGAGCCAGACTCCTCCATGAGGACATGTCTCCTACATCCACCAGAGCGGAGCTACAGGAAACAGCAGTATGTGGACCAGCTTGACTTGTCTGCACTTAGGCAGAGGGACAGCCATACAATGGACATGCTATGGACAATGCCATTTTCCATTAAGTTCTATGGTACACTAATGACCATTTGCTTCCTGTCTTAACTAAATTGCTCATAATAATTTTGCAGTGACATTTTGGCATAAAAGTCTTAAGTTTTCTGTTCTTGTTTTTACTACACAGATACATATAATGTGGGTTTAATTATTTACAATTATGGTTTATCAGAAAACAAGCTAATGATGGGCAGTACGCATCATTCCGACTTTTCGAAACATCTCCATTCCATGTTGCAAGTGAACAGAGTAGGACCAATGGACGTGCACAGGACAAAACAGGTGTCTGACAGCTATGCTTGGCAAATTGCGATTAGTCATGATGTGGGGTTAAAGGAAATGGGGTAAAGTAACACCAGAGTGTGTGAGTGACATGTCAGCTGGACCTCCTGTACATGTACACACTCTATATGAGAATATACATACATCTATACTCAAAGTGTGACGTGCCCTCTGTCTGCAGATTGATGACCTAATCCTCACACATGATACTTGGACTGTATCTGTTTACTATGTGATGTTACTGAGCACCAGAAACGTAAAGGCTACGTCTATGAGATTGTGTCATTAACCATCAAGTGCCAATTTAATGTTGCAGTCTTGCACAAGACATCTGTGCCTTCGACCACACATTGTCAGTATTGAAAAATGTATTTACTGTCAGCGCACAATCGGTAACCCACAACAGAACTCTGGACTTATTTTGATATCTTTATCACATTGGCTTTTAATATTCTGTGAATTAGGTAAAATTTCTATCCACAAATACTGTCTTATCTGTTTGTATAATATTATTGTAAATTTAAGAGGCTGTGAAAATTATTGCTGTTGTATTAACATGCATTCACATGTGCACATCTAACCCATTTGCTGTCGATTTTTTAAATAAATATGTTTTTCTTGAAACTTGTCGCTTTTGTCATATTGTTTGCCAGCAAATTTCTATTACGCATATAAAATTGAAAAATGCATTTTCATCTAACTACTATGCAATACAATCCAACAATCCTCAGAGAACTGCATTAACTGTGTTTTTCAAAGGACTCAAAATATTAAAATTCAAATTTTGGTTACACCTACGGTCAAAAAAATATGATAACAGATTTCTTCCTCAAATTGTTTACATTGATTTTGGGGTCCAATGAGTAGACTGGTGAAGTTGAAGTTGGCACAAGCCTGCATGCCAGCAACCACCGGCGGGTAGAAGCCAAGTGCCAGGGCCGCGTCGCTGAATCTGAATGATTCATTATGTGGTCAAGGGCCCCATTGTGTCCTTTTATCCGAAGAGGAATTAATTGGACAGAAAATGGAAGGGCAAGGGGCGGATTCTTTCCCCCCATCACTGTCTCATATCACAAAAAACAACTTAGACTGCAGGCTCTAGCAATAGCAGAAGCAGAAATCATATCATAATCTGTAGATAATAAAAGGAGATAATACCACAGCAGATGGGGTGTGGGTGGCTCAAGAACGACTTGTTGTTTTTCTTCCCTCAAAGTCTTTTTTTCACTATGTTTGCCAAATAGTTTCAGGAGGAACTCTTGAGAAATAACACGAGTGAATAAAAGTGAGGCAAAAAGGCTCTTCAGGGTGCTTGGGTCTTGTTTCCTTGGAATGCGTCCACAGTTTGTCGTTGGGCCAGTACAAAAGCCCTATACTGTAAATAGCTGCAATTGGTGTGGAATGCAATGTGGGCTGTATCAGAATGAATGAATTAGCAGATGAATGAATACAAACGAGGGATTTTACACGATCACTTCAAAACAACACAAAATTAAACCTTGACATTAAGATGGTTTCATGTCATACAATGAGACCATATTTCCATTAATTATTATTGTTTTGCATTAAAAAAAAAAAAAAATAGGCAAAGCAAAATGCAAAACATTGACAACAACATAAACAAATGTCAACTTCTTTATTAGGGTTTTACATAAAATTTTATTTAATTAATGTGGATAATACTTTTTGCATACCTAATCATGGATTTCAGTTTCCTTTGTATAGGTTCCATTTGAGTATTTTCAACATACAGTAGTTTTGAACTGTCAATTGCTAAGGGAACAACTGACAACTATGCACATTTTTTATTACTTTCATCAGAGTAATGTTGTTAATATATAAAAACCAACAACAATAAAAAGGTAAGTTGTTTTTGTTGCAGGTTTTCTTCAAGATTATTAATATTAAGACATTTATTGGTATTGTTTATGGTACCCAGCCAGTAGAAGAACAGATCCTGCAGAGAAAATAACTGAACTTGGTACATCCAGTGCTTGGCCACCTGACCACTTCCTATTGTTGGGAATGGGATAACTTGCCTGGTAATAGTCAGGCTGAGTCAGGGAAGAGCGGAGAGAGCCGGGAGCTGTGAGGATTCTGAGAATGTGGTGCTGATTTGCAAGTGAAATGAAGTGGACATAAAGCATGGTTCCAGCCTGGACTACCTCCACAGATACCCAGGCCTCATCCTGTTCCGAGATAATGATTGCTGAGTTGGTTTTCACTGCAAAAAATAAATGACTACTGGAGTTTTAAATTATAAACAAAAAAACAGAGAAAAAATGTGTTTTGACCGTTAATTTTGATCATTAAAGGGACCCAATTTATTTTTCTGCATGGAGATGTTGTTACTTTGTCTAATGTTCCACAGTATGGCATTTATGTTACGTTTCCTCAATTATAGATAATTTTATTACTAAAAATATAATATGTAAGAAATATGTATTTTTACTGTGAGCTGGGTTGCTTCGCCTCAGATCTTTCCAATAACGTTTGCTTAACTCCATGGAGATAGATATGTTTAATGCCATATAATGGAACATTCCAGGCTAAGCAATATCATGTTCACGGAAACAAGCAGGTAGTAAATCCTTTACATATAAACGGTGAACTTTTAATCTCGCCTAAACTATGAGTGGTGGTATAATAATTTCAAAGTGTTTAGATTGTAACCCAGTAATATTTAGTGGACTCATTTCTTCCATATCTATATTATAAATACTCATAAAGAAAGTATATCAAGTAGTTTGATGCCATAGGTCTGAGTGCTCAAAAAAGTGAGAGAAAAAAAGCAGTCCACTAACAATGTTTTTTGTGCGTAAGAAATACAATTAAAAAATAAATAATTATTTTCAACCTGCTTGTTGCCAGATGGAGACGGATTACTGCACTAGGGGAAGTCAGACGAGGGTCACATTTCTTTTACTACTTTTCTGATAAGAGAAACTTTCAGCTTTGTGTTATGAGCTTGTTTTAGTTTGTTACTTTAATACAGATAAATAATCATAAACTGTATCAATTGAAGTGATTGGAAAAAATGTCCTGCTATAACACAACTTAGTAAAAACACGAACAAGAAAATGATTTGAGTACACAACATCTACACTTAGTACAACCTTTGCCAACTTCTTCTACACAATTGTGAGTTACAGCAATTTTTTGTAACACTGTACCACAAAACCTTTTACTAAACATATACTACATCATTACTATATTTGTGATATAATTACTAGTTACAGTGCCAAAATACACCAGAAAATTCTACTATTCACTCTATTTCCAACTGTTGACTACTCCATCCTCACAAACACATCAAACACCACATAAACTTACACAAACATGTTTGGGAATGTACATGAAAAGTATATATTTACTTTCACCTTTGCTTAAAAAGAGATGCTTTAAGTTGTCCCAGGTGCACACAATGCAAGTGGTACAAACACACAGTGCTCAGTTACAGTTTGACATCTGGTGCTTGTGCATTCTCTGAACAGTTGTCCGCAGTCTTTCACTTAATTTTTTCATTTGTTCACTCCTTTTCACTTTCTCTTGGCACATATCGGTCGCGAACGTGGTGGTGGCGACATGGCTGCTCATCTTTCCTGCACAGCTTTAGGACTTGTTGATTGGGAAGTACGTCTGTGTTTTTTATTGTGGCAGCTTTGTGCTTTTGGTGAACTGTGGCGGGCCTCCATCGTCATGTACTGCCTCCATCTTTCCCTGAGCCTCACACTTCCTGTCTGCCTGCTGATCAAAGACAGGACAGATCTGTGCTGCGGTTCCACCAGAGCAACCGACATTTGGGATCTTTTACTATTAAAATGTCACTTTTGCTCCTGTGAGTTCTTAGGATCTTAAGAAGTTTTTTTTTTTACAATATAAGATGCTTGTTTTTCATTATAAAACAATGATAACAGCAAAGATTAATGGGAATCAAATCCTCAACAATTGAACAGTCTAATTGCTCATAATATGCGCCAGTCTGTGTAATGTATTTCTTATGGTATTGTCAGAACTATTTGTTAGCAGTGCTAGACAATACATAATGGCTCCAGAATATTGTACATATTTTATAATTTAAAGGCAGAACAAAAGCTAACCAACTGTGTGCCAACTAATATACATATCGCGGTTGTATTCAGTCCAAAAACACATTTAAAACTTTAAATTCAGAGGAAAGTTTTAATAGTGTACTTATTTATAAAGTTTTACACTGATTTTTATTATTTATGTATGTATGTATTTATTTATGTATTTTTAAGTCTGAAAAATTAATGGGAAGTGGGTACTGACTCTAGCTCTATGGGTTTAGATGTGAAATCGAATGCTGAGCTTGCTGAATGTCTCTCCTCACTCTGTACCCTACTTTTACTCTGTTCTCTAACCTGTCTAGTAAATACTACAAGTGTTTTAAAAAGTTATTTGTAAGCTACATCCTCCTTCACCATTTACACGGTGATGAAGGATAGCATTAAGCCTGTGAAATAGTTTATTTTGTTGAAAACTGTTCTACCCCTAAAATAAATTTGAAAACATTATTTCAAGGTCTAAAAACTACACGATGTTGCTCATTAATCTTAAGTGTCGACGCTTCACCATAACAATGAAAGTATCCCAAATATTATTTCAGCAGAGTTTTATATCAATGGGAGAGCATATTTTCTGGCGGTGAATGATGAATTAGCATATTGCGGGCCATCCCACACACACTCACATTGTTACCCTTTTCAAAGCCCCCCGCACCCACTCAAGTTCCACCAACGAGACAATCCTCCACATGGGATCCTCCGAGACCCTGGAATGTGGCGTGTGGGAGGAACATATTTCATACTAATACACGTAGGTAAAAGCAGAGGTAGACTCTTGACACAAAGTATGGAGAGAAGACGGGACAGAAGGGAAGGCAGGTAGAGAGGGATGGAGGGAGAGATGGAAAGAGGGAGGGAGAGAGAGTTCTGTGGTGCGATGGCGTTGTTGCTGTTGGCGAGAGACTTGGCAGGATGCGTCGCGTGGACAGCAGGACCAAGTTTTAAATGTACCAGAGCTGGCACGGAGGACACCTGTGAGAGCACGCAGTGGGAGCACCCCAGCTCAACATGGCCATTTTGACGAGACCCAAGACAAAGTACTGCATACACCAAGTGCACATGTGTGAACCAGGATTCTAGTCAAATGTGGTTCCTTACTTTCTAAGTCACAAAAACATTATCATTGAAAGGTAGGCCTGTATATTCATAAACAAGTGCAAGTTAGAGAGACATAAGCTTTACATTGCAGTGGCGTTATTCATTGCTTTTTTTTTTTTTTTTTAATTTCCAGGCACTTCTAAGAAACTGGAAGTATAGGTAAGCTATATTGTATAATGTGCTTTTCGTTTGTTTACAATATATATGAAGTACGTTATTAATCATCATTTGAGGAGGCCACGATGGATAAGTGCAACAGAGACTTTTGTTACTGCATGAGTGAACACTTTGCAAGTTGCACTAAGAATTTTAATGTACAGTTTTATTTGTACGCTGAACAAATCGGACAATGAAATAATAATGTCACTCATAAATATGAGATTCAGCGCAATAAGATATCAGTCCAAAATGTGAAGACACTGGTATGGTTGTCTTTTA